TGGGAAACGTATTTTACCACAAAAAATGTTGACATTGCGCTTTCCAATCTTTACCACAACCTGGTATATTGCCTTGACTGAACTGCTCCAAATATTGGTCATGTAGCTTATAATGCTTATAAGGGCCAAAACACTTTTAAAACTTTTAAAAGAAAGGTAAAGAAATTAAAATGCCGCTACTACAAGCACAATGACGTGTGTGCACTTCAGAGTATACCTAAATTATTCAACAGAAATGTTTCATCTAAACGCAAGTACTTTATGAATATAAAAAATAAAGCCCTACGTAGTAAAAGCCCAGAATTATCAGTACTTCGGCTTTCTAAATCCCGTGTGAAGTCAAACTCTCTTGGCACGACTAAATTCTTCATAGTTAGCAGAAGCATTGTTGACGACCCCGATATTATGTGCGAACAATTCAGAAAGCACTTCTCGCAATGCTACAAAACTGGAACTGAAAGCTCTATCATTATATTTCCAATGCTGACATCCACGCATTTCATGCCCTCCAACATCAAGCAAGCCATAGCTGCCCTGAAAAAGTCTTATGATGGTGGACCTGACGGGATACCTCCATCATATGTGAAATATGGAAGTAGAGAATTTCCACTATTTTGTTTGAAACTTTTCAATCTATCTATGGAATATGGGACCTATCCATCTGTATGGAAAACATCCCTTATCACTCCTAGATTCAAAACAGGACCACGTAGTGATATTATTAACTATAGGCCAATTAATTTGACATCCGTGCTCTCAAGAACCATAGAAAAAATCATCCACAAACAGCTACTATTATTTTTACTTTCGGCTAGTTTGATTAGCCCATCCCAACACGGGTTTATGACTAAACGCTCATGCTTCACATCGCACCTGGAATTTTTGATCAAATAACCCATAGAAGAGATGTTGGTCAGTCAGTGATAATTCTTTACTTCGATGTTAGTAAGGCTTTCGACAGTGTCTCACACAAACTTCTAAAACTCTCATCATTTGGCATACAGAATCCCCTTTTGTCTTGGTTCAAATCTTTTTTAGAAGAACGTAGCCAAGTCGTTCGCTGTGGATCTTGCTACTCTCAATATGTGAATGTAAGCAGAGGGGTTATACAAGGAAGTGTGATTGGTCCATTACTCTTTCTCCTTTTTATCAATGACGTGTGTTCCCTCTTTCAGTATAGTTAACCATTCCTTTTTGCCTATGACCTAAAAGTAGTTTATTCATTCTCTTCTCCCACCAAAGAGAGCTATATTTCGGAGGTAGTCCAAGAAGAAATAAACATGTTATACGAATGGACTGTTTCGTGAAATTAGTCACTTAAGGTTGTTAAAAGTGGATTCATTCACATTGGCCGCTACCTTAAATAAAATCTAACTATACACAAACATACACTTGTAGTGAACTACTTTTATCAAGAGAACGCGATTGGTTTAATGGAAACAATTACTATTATAGCCAGTTGTATCAGTGATTATTTTATTGTACTTGTTCGTTTAACTGTACTAAAGACAACCATTATTCCTCCATACTTTCTTCCATTGATTGTGACCCTGCACGAATTCGGTTACGCTCAGTAACCGCACTTGTAACCTAGCACGATGTCGGTATCTTTTCGATACCACGAGATGGCCAACAAATACATCTCGACTACAGCCATCAACTGCCTTCTGATATTTGGCCTACGAGGGATCTTATCGGTTAACTGGCACGTAGTCTTCGTGTAGTGATGATCATAGCCAACCGCAACTCGACGCCACGCTACATACTCAAGCCTCCCAACACTGTTTGTGACTTGGGTCTAAGATATAGCAACAGTTTGAACTTTTCTGAGCACATTGCATCATAAGTATCCAAAGCTAGAAAGCTCATTGAATTCATAATGATAAACTTCAATAATATCGAATCGAGATTATTATTATTCAGAAAATGTATCTTACCAATTCTTTAATATGGTATTTTAGTTTGCAGTAATTGCAGGCACAATGACCTGACTAAAACTGAAGGTGTTCAAAGAAGGTTCACCGAAGCTGTTCTGGGGTATTCTGACAACAAAGACTGTCACCAAAGATGTCAACAACTCAACTTTGAACCTCTTTGGATCAGACGTATCAATTTAAATCTTGTTTTTATCTACCGGCTTATTAACGGCATTTCCTGCTCTTCGGTATCCACCACTTCATACCTTATGATATCATCCCACAATCTACGCAATAAGGAGAATATTCTAGCGATTCCAAGAACCCACACAAACTTACACCAGAAAAGTTTCGTTATTCGCGACTCAACCGTGTGGAACAGACTGCCAGTTAACCTCCGTTGCAGCGAAAGTACAACCCGGTTCAGAAGTCTCGTTGATGATTTTCTTTCCGAAAGTGGATTATGTCACCTACTGAATATCAGTGTATTCAATAATGATTTATACAAACAAGGTCCGTCATCCATTTAATTGCCTGAAAAGTAAAATGAAACCTTTGAAACTTTTCACGTCTATTTTACTTTATTTCTATTTATCTCAATATATGAGGTCTGTTTATGTTCGTATTTATCATTATTACCGTTATTATTACCATTATTAGTTCCGCGACACATTAGATATTCTTTTTATCTCTTATCGTTCTAAACATACTTAACTCCATATTGTCCTTTGAAACCAATTGTGACTTTCATAGCATCATTCTTAATTATTATTGTACAAATATTTATAATAATATCCGGTTTCACTCTGTATACTATCACATAAATCTAAATGTATTCATCCGAGTGTACTGAAGGATTTATATTTTATTTTTATCAATTGCTGGTTTACGTCTGAGGTTGATATTCATTACACAATTATTATTTTTATCAAGGATGAACCCTTTCACTAGGTGTTCACTTATTTTCTCTCTCTTCTTTCCTTCTAAATAAATATTATTCTTTAGATTACGAAGTTTGTAATTAAGACGACATTTTGTGTTACATTTAAATTAAATTCTCAGACTTGTTTTATCTTCACTATGCACATATCACACATACATATTGATATTTCGTCATCCCTTGCACTTAATTGAGACTTTCATAGCGTCAATCCAAACGATAACTGCACAAAAATTTATTCCAGCGTCATATCTTACTGCAATAACAAGTCATTTTTTCTCATTTTCTTTTCTATCTCATTTTTGTTACTAATTTGACGACACATACATAGTCCTTTATTCTTGTTCTGTGTTCACAAACATGCCTATTAAACTATTTCACATCTCCTTTATTTCTATTCCCTTATTTTCTTCCTTTCTTTCTTTAAACTCAATTCAACATTCTCGATTACACAGAACATGATACTTGGTATTATTTGGCTTGTATCTTCCCATTGAGGTTTAAGACTGCAACTGACCAGTCTGTTATTGTAATGTGTGCATACTGTGCGTATGCCTCGATATTTACTTACTTCACAACCTTTTTATGGGCAACGATGGATAGTGGTTGCTTACAAAAATACACAGAACATGATTTATTATTATTCTATTAGTTTTACTCTGTTTTTTTTTCAAATACGGCAAATATAATGCTATTATTGAAACTTTTGTTTTATTGCATTTTTGAAGAAACCCGAAATGGTTTTTTAACAACACTCATGTACCCAAAAGATGTTTGTGAATAATAATAATAACATTAATGATTGATATGCAGACACGTGCTCAATCAGCTTCACACATAATTTTTCATAGTATATTAAGTGTGGATTAAATTAGCAGTCAAATAATACAGTAGTTGAATGGGCTTACTACACACCATTGGAATTAGTGTGTTAACTGAGACTTTAGATAATCTACACGCTAATTGTGGTTAGCACTTTTTCGCGTTCATATATGTCTGGTCCACCACAAATCTGTGCGTGGTCTATCCAGACAGGATAGAATAGCATTTATTTGTTGTGATTGGTAATTTTCTCGCATCCTTCATCACCTTCCTTATTTATTGTAATATATATTTGATCAATTGAACAGTTATTCGTTGGATAGCTGGGTGGTCATATTTGTTTAAGTAACAATGTACATTTAAATTTATGATGAATTATAGAACCGTCATTTTACCTAATCATTTTGTTTTGGTTTCAACATGGCAAGGGCACCTATCTAACCCACCTAGACAGCCATTCTTCAGCCCAAAACTTATTTTGGATCTCACAGTGCGTAATCCTGATAATCGCTATTATTCTAGTACTTTATATATGTACTATCTGATTGTCGCGCTTTAATATATGTATGGGAATACGGGCAAGAAAAAAATAATGCAAAAGAAATTCATATTGTTCTATCGCAAAAGCGTTGAAATTGCAAGACATTCAAAATTTAGTAACTGACTTCCAACTAGAGAAGCGAAAAAGCAGCATGAGCCAATGGCGGGATTTTATTCCATGACGGGTGTTATTTTGTTCTGTCCTGTCTTACTTATTTTGCTATTCGCTTGCTACCTCTGATATTTCGATGTCTAAAATTGGCAGAAGTAAAGTTAATTAACCAACAAATTAGAAATCTGTATGAAATTCATCTACACATTATACATCTGAATCCTTACACCACAAAACGTTTAGTTTCGATAACCCGATGGTTCTTATTTCACGCTTGTGTTCCTTGAAATTTTTGTCTGTTGGCTCCATCACCAAATGAAAGTGAATCCTACGAGGTATCTGAGTCGTCAACTTACGTTTTCCTTCGTTCATTTCTTTTCAATGTTCTCTCAGAGACTAACATTCATGATCCCCCAGAACACAAAAATAGACACGAGTCCATCAAACGCTGAACGCCCCAACATTAGCTGATGTTATTCCAAGGTCTGAACTCTGCTAATAAAAAAACGGTTAACATTTATTACAACAAACTAATGACTACAAAAAGGTCTCTATAAATTATCTCATAAACATTATACCATAGCATATTTATTACGAAAGCCTTTAAAAACAAGGACAAAGGTTTTAAAACATTGTTAAGTACTGTTATATGATTGTTGTATACATCTAACGTAATGTCTTCCAGAGTCCCGGGAATTTGAGTCAAGGTCATTAATATTACGTCTTCATTCTTTCGCTTTATAGGTATGATTGTAGGTTGCCCTTTTTCCGTAAGTACTTTCGTGTACTTCGAATAGCAGCACAAGTTACTACTTACCACTCCTTCAATGCGTAGCATTCTAATCCTGCACGTTTCTTTTATTCATCCTATTTAGATATAATTGTAGCTGATCGGACTGCTGTTGCTCAACGATAGTACTTCTTTTAGGGTTCATTAAAAAGTCTTGTGAAAGTAGAATAAAATTCGAACTGTCGCTGGCCGTACGCTATACTATTCGTGTGTTTTTCGTCCGTAATACTTTTGAACACTGAACACATCTATTTCACAGAATACCTGAAGAAAAATGAGCGTGCTTCTGTTTATCCCAAATATACTTGGTACGAAACGTTCATCTATGTCACTTTTTATGTGGTAAATTTTTTTGCGTACTTGGAATACTATAAGAAGTAATATTTTATCAGATCTTCATTGCCTACATTTTCTTTTTATATTTCTATTTTATATGTGTACCATTGCATTTCGTGGGTGGTAGTTACTGCTTTTATATGTGGTCTAGATGTTTGTTATAGAACTAATACGAATTTTCATATAGTTTCCAACGTCCGATCTGCTAAATGCTAGTAGTTTTCTCATTCTTCACTTAGTTCCTATTATAGTATAAGCTGCTTGCCTTCACACTATAGATTTTTCGGGTAAATATCTTTGCCGGCATTTTGAGTCCGAGTTGTTCACTGGCAGATTATTCTTTCACCCTTATTTCATCGACACGTGGATTGGGTCTTCACGAGCGGATTGAAATGTGCTAGTAATCTTTCGGTACATCAATACACGCGAAACATACAAGCTAATGATCCATAGTTTTGAATTTTTGCCGCGTTTTGCTTTGTAATAATCATCAGGAGTCTTTCTTTTTTTGTTGTTTTGTTACCACAGCATAGGAACCTAGAAAATACGTTAGATAGGAAGCATTGTGTTTATAGTCTTTTAAGTGTTTTTGGAAACGTTTCACCAGAGTTCTCAAGCGTCACTCTAACCTATATCAAATTGGACAGTTTTTTTTCAAAAATAGCCACAAAAAAGCAGCCAGGTTTCATGTAACCTGCTTGTCTCAACACTGAACTACATGTAGGCAGATTGATGGTGTTAGAGGAACTGTCATCGCCATCTCATATTTTCACTCTAGAGATCTTGGTGGCTAACATTTGTGTTATACTTGATTGCAACATATATCCAAAAGAAATATAATAAAACATAGGTTCAGTTATTTTTCGTAATGAGTAGTCCTTGAACACCTACTCTGATTGCATGCTTTTAGGCATTTACTATTGTTATTATGAGTCTTATCTCTAATGTAGTTTTGACAAAGAAATCTTTTGGAAATTGCCAAAAACTAATGATTCGAATAGTCTTATGGCGAGTGAACGGTTCAGTGATGAAATCTCTTAAAATATTGCATTCAAGGAGTCGTATCATAGTAAATATATGTATTTCTTTGCAATAATCTATACCTTTTTGTGATTAGAATCGCAAACTTATTTTGGAAACAGATATATATGAATAAGGTAAACAGGCAGATTTGACAAGTGCTTTGAATGTTTTCCAGAGCTTTTAGCAAGAAGACTACTTATAGGATCCAAATGGTCGTGACATGAAAGGACGTAGTGCGGCTGGTAATATCTAAGCCCGCATAGGTTATTCTAGCCTTTGAACAGACCAATCTATTCATTCTTCTTAAGCCGCATTTCTACCCTGTCACCTATTCGCTCATTAACTCTGACTGTTTTTTATATGATTGCATATGTGTCAATTACTTACCCTATTCATTACGAACTTACTTAATTACGCTTGTTACTCCTTGTGGAGGAGCGTAGGCCGCACACAAGCATTCTCCATCAAACACTGTTTTGAGAAACTTATTTTTGCTTGACTGTAAGTATCGATTCACGTTTTGTTGAATCGAGTGGGCTCACATGCCTTCTCCGATTCGTTCCGCTTCGCTCTCTCCTCTCCGCCTTCGCTTTGTTTTTTCTGATCGTCTGTCTGGATCGACGAGCGTATAAAGTATACGTGTTCAAAATCTATTTTCGTATTTCAATTATTTATTTAGGTCATTTACTAACGCAATGTAAGTCAATAAAAATATACGAGGGTGGCCGGGATGTATTGTAGGGGCTGGTCCTATGTTACGGCCACATAACTTATTCTAGAATTCGAACAAACCAATTTATTCATTCATGTTGAATCACAGTTTGACCTTGTTAGTTATTTGCTTGTCAACCTTGACTTTCTATATAAGTTTGTGTGCATTTCTTATCTTACTCATCAAATATCTGCAACTTATTTTCGAACTATAAATATTGAGTCACGTGTGATAAAAACGAGTTGGGTCACTCGCCTTTTCCATTGCACGTCATTTTGTTTTGTTTCGCTTTCCGATGAACGATTGTACGAAATATACGTTTCCAAAAATCTATTCTCGTATTTGACTTATTTGATTCCGCTATTCATCAACGTGATTTAAGTCGATAATTATATTCGAGGATTGAAGATATGTATAAGTGGATATTAAGCAGTGAGCGTTCTACCTGGAGTCATGTCGGGCCAAGAAAGTACATTTTGATTAAAGTCGTCCATATGATGGAACTGGAGACAAATACAATGCCACAAAAGGATGGCCGAGACTGTGGATCAGGCAAAACCAAACTTCGATATAATAAGGATATGAGATCAAAACATGACCGTTATTTTCGATGCCTCACTATCACTTTATTGGTTGATAGATAAAAGGGCATCCATTTTATTAAATCATAATCTGATCATATCCACCTTCCACAAGTCACCTTCGAATAATCGAGATCGACATACGTTCTACTATTATAGTGGTTGAATGTTGGTTGTTTTGTCTTCCGGCATCTGTAGGCTTTCGTCAACGACTCTGTGTTGTGGGCAAATGGCCATATATTATTGCATACTATAAACCGACGATTGATTTTCGCCTAATAATTAAAGAATCCCTAAGTACTTGCTAATTGCAAGGAGTGAAATCCTAATCTCCAACAATATAGTAATTCATGCTACCTGTCGTATTTACTGTAGAACGTAGTCCGAACGTGTCGTCCTGCATTAGGATAATGGGAAGAAATTAACATGATGTGGAACTTTTAGGAAAATAATCTCAAATGCAATTAAGATGTAAACATAGGAAGTATAGTTCTCAGTCAACAAGTGAAATCATATGATACAAAGTGTAGAATAATAATAAATTCAATATCTAGGTTTGACAAAGATGAAACGTGGATAGAATCGCAGCAAAAACTAGGAGTACTTATCCAGATACCTTCCACAGGTTATTTGTTCGTAATAAGGAAGGACTAAAACTTGCTGATGCTCAGGTTAAACTGGAAATTTTATTCTGAATCCCAACAATTACTGTGTTGAATTACTTCGACTAGCCATTAAGAAAGATAAACTCATGCCGTCTTACTTGATTATTTACTCAGTTCAGTTAATCAATCGCAATCACCGTTTATATATATATATATATATATATATATATATATATATATATATTGCTTCAATAATTCTTCGTTGTGTCTTAAGTAATTTGAAGTTTGTAGAAATATTCAACATTTCACAATTCTACAGTTTACTTTTGTTCACTAATTCTTTATGAGGGAAGAATATCAAATGAACGACATAGCTGTCGTGGACTTTTACCATTGTTTAAAGGTATATTTGGTACTGTTGTAGAAATCGTTTAAATTATTCCATGACGCGATGACATTCAGTGTGTTAAACGAATATTTGACTGGGAGTGGAAAAGTTTGAGTTGTATTTTTTGCTTGTAAATAAAAAAGAAATATAGAAAAAGTAGGACATATCTTATGGTGTTAATTTGATCTGATTTTTGAAGGTTACATACGAATCGTACTTCTGTTTCAAGCATGTTATTTTATGAAAACTAATTGTGAGCTAACTCTTCTAACGTACATCATTTCGTGTCTATTGGATGCGGTAGATGGTTGTGCTGCACGCGCGCTAAACCAAAGTAAGACTATTTCAGTAACGTCTTTCAATGATTTCATTCAGGTACGAAATTCGGTGCTATGTTGGACATGATTGTTGACCGATGCTCGACAATGTGTTTATTGGCTTGTCTTACCTATTTTTATCCATCATACATGCTTTTTTTTCAATTCAGTATGATTGTGGACATAGCTAGCCATTGGTTACATTTACACAGGTGAGAATTCATCTCGTTATTACTGGTTTAGTTCTGTTTTATCGGGAAAATCAAGTCATAAATTTATAGATCTTAAAGCAAATCGATTTCTCAAATTGTACTATACAAATAGGGTAGGTCATGTCGTTTCCAAAATTTATTCTTCATTATATATAGGTCATTCTTTTCTTGATGTGTGCAGGAAATGAGCTTTTCTATACAACGCTCTATATATACCATTTCTATACTGGACCAAAAAGCAAGTCTACACATTTCATTTTTCGTGTTCTACCATAAGATCATACAGCTATAGACAGTCAATAGTTTGTCTGTTCGCGAGATAAAGCTTGAATTCTAGCTCATTATTTATGTACCAATTTTGCTGATTTTAAGTCTTTAAGCGTTCTCTGGAACGGAATCACAACCCATTTAAAACCAGTCATAAAGAGTACAGGTTGGTTCTTTAATTTGGTCAACGGAAATATCCATGGCTATTATGATTACCGCTTGAAAAATGGGTTTGTGAAAAGCTAGAAATGGAAATTGTTGTATTTCAGCTCAGTCCAGTTGTCGTTGACAACCATTTGTTTGCTGTACATCAATCTGTAAAACAAATCATTTAATTATATTAACTCTGCATATAACTGACTGACTGGCAGTTAACGTTCTCCAAGGTAAATTAATAACAATATGACATAACACATATAGCTCTATCTGATATTCACCTTAGGTAATAACGGTCGTGCCTTACAATAATCCTGCAGATTTTTGACTTTAATATTCCTTTTTAACGTTGATATCGCAATGACACCATAGTGTTTTTGGGTGTGATTACCAGCGATGTAAATCTACTATATGGAAATGTTCTCTAGATTTCAAATGTTTAGATAATACTATTTTGATGTACAGTAGCACACAGTAGGCAATAGACATTCAACTAGTAAGCGATAACTGTTCTTCCATTTTGTGTTTTACATCCTAAGGGTAAGGCAATTCTGAAACCTTAATAGATCCGTGTCCTTTGCTCAGGCTAGTGTCAAGAATAGTAAAGTTTGTAAATTTAAGCTGTTATATGAATGCTATTGTCTCAATGAAGACAAATGTAGTACTTTAATCTACATGACTTATTATGTCTTTATGTCATAATACTTGGTTTGTCTTCATTTTTTCTATAATTAAAAAGTCTGATGATACACAACTTAGGGTTAAGACTGAACTTTGAAATTGTACAGTAATAGATATGAACTTTCATACAATACCAAGTGTAGAAACATTTATTTTATAACTGATATGACAAATTGAAGAGTTGAATTTATACGCAAGGTTTTACGTTGTTTATATTTGTGGAATGAGTTGTAATGTCTTTTTCATTCATTTTAACTGTAATGAACTTTTTTGTCAAGTAAAGTATGGTAATTAATACTATAAAATTCATATGACATAATATAAAAACCTTCCACCTCATTTGTGTCTATTTTATTTTCCTTTCTTTGACCAGTATTTGCTTCGGGATTATGGGGCATAGTGATTTGTTTAACAGCACCAATTGCATTTCTGAAAATGTTGATTAGCCTCATTCAGCTTCATGCAGCTTGTATGAATATGGTTTCACTGGATGAACTAGAAAGATCTCAGAATAAAGCAGATTAGTTACGTCTGCTGTTGTTAATTCGAAAGAACGAGGTATATATGTATGACTAAATAAATACTATTCCAGTTAATATATGTCTATAACATTCCGTGTTTGAACTAACCTGAGTAATTTTTAAGTACATTATTTCGTGTTGTAAGTCCCCTTGTAATGTTTTTATGAATACTAAAAAGATAACAAATTTGTGAAACTGGTTCGATGTTAAACTACTTTGCATCCTCAAACTCACTCATACTTTCAATCAATATTACAGAATTGCTTATTTTCCCCTCGTATATTTGCTCTTACTGTTTGCTTGTTATTTGCGTTGTTTTTATTTTTGCATTTCCTATTTATCTATCATCAGGTTAATTCTATTTTCTCTAAACTTTTGAACACATTAATTATACTATTATTTGTAATGTATTACACATGTCATACCTAATTTCAGTTATGAATTTTATTATTCACATAATGTTGTGTAGTTTACAAGTTTTCTATCTCAACAAGTGCTTTACGTTGTATTTAATTTTATTGTCCGTGATATATTACAGCCTAATATTCTATGTTTTTTTACCATAGTTTTCAAGACGTTAGTATTAAAACTAATCTAACTGGACTGGACAAAATGGCATACTCCACTGGTAGGTTTCGTGCTGAACAGTCAAAGCGTACAGATTACATTTGTTGATAGTAATATAAGATGATCAAAATAATTCAGCGTGAACTCTGATCCCTGACTGAAAATAATCCATTTATCCTAGTATGGGACAAAACAGCCGTCCAGTGCTTCCAGGGTTCCAATGGTGGTCTAACATTGATCCATTCATGAACTCAATCAAAACTCAACAATCTCCACAATCCTGTACTGATAATCCATTTATCGTCTATTTTCTCTTATTCGGGTATCTTTACTAGTGTCTAATTGACACATAACCTTGATTTGATTAGCAAATTATGTTCAGTGGTATAAGTATAGCTCATAGTCAATTTGAGTTATTCGTTGTCATCCTTTATTTGAAGGTTTACGTTAATTACAAAAACTTGTCACTGTGTAATGTTATTTTTCTCTCACGATAATGTATTTCGATTGGATAAAAGTTTATATAAACTGGTTAGAATAGTATGCCAATCAATAAAAATTATCGTCTTAGCTCAGCTATCTGGTTTTTTATAAATTGGATACAGTGGTACATTACTTTTAACAGTTCACGTTTAGTAAAACCATTAAGATAGCAGTTGTAAAATGATCACCATAAATAGTAAAACAAGCCTTGTACCAATTACGGCTTGTTATTCTTTTACATTTTAGCTCTCTTCTTCTGAATACCCATAAAATTTCTAATTTATATCACTAGATTTTTTGCATCTACACTTCGTTCACCACTTGTATGTCACTAACTCGAGATTCTCTTATTACACAAATTTACATATATACTTGCATAGAAGCATACCAGTAGGTCTTTTAATGAAAATAACTGCTATTGAATACAAATCAAAATCAAAGTAAAGATACTATCAATAAATTAAAGATATTATATGTAAATATATTTGATCCAGTACATTTTGTTCTAGTAATTTTACGTCATCCCAAGCTTCTTGTACAACTGCTAATAAAGTGTCATGTTAAGAATTTAAAGAATACTAGGTTAATAAACTAAATTTTGAAATAAAAAATTCAGTCAGAAAATTGATTATCACTACTATTTCCGTTATACACCACATCAGAATTAAATATATTCACAAAGAAAAAGTGGTTTATTTCTAACCCTGGACAGTCAATACATAGTGAGGTTAAATATTCAGTCTAATCAACAATAATATGTAAAACAAATTGTAACCGATAACTAAACATATGTAGTGCATTGACAAATAATAAATATGAAGTAAAGAACTAACAATAGTTTATTCATAATGTTATGTTTGTAGTTCTAAATCAATTGAAAATTTCGATCCTCCCGCTATTGTTAAGCTATGGACCATCGATAGTTCCATCAAAAATTATTGGCTCAGAATCTATACTATTCACTTCTTATCAAGTGTTCGACAATCTATAGATTAATATTTTAGCATGTAATCATATCAAGCTAGGACTTCAATGTAATTGAATATAAATGAGTCGAAATACTAAGAAATGGTCACAAATATATTATTTTAGTCGGTCATTGATCGACGCTTACTAAGTAGGTAATAAACTTATACTAATCAGGTCATTATGAAGTAATAAGCAGTAGATCCGTCTCCAAAAACGCCTGCGCATTCCAAAATAAATAGAACATATTGCATTCTGTCGTTTTTATTTGTGATCCGTTTGCAATGGAATACCAGGAAACCTCGCTACATTTTGCTGAATTTTCATAATATGTAAAGTTTACATTACATTAGGATAGATATATTGCTGATGAAACAGAAAATTTCTTCGTTACCTTCAAGTAAGCTGGTCAGTTTGGTAACAATCTGCTTGTATGACTGAGAAATAAGTAGACTATGACATTTGATCTCGCAATCTTTATGGGATAGCTGCTTGGTGGATACAAAAGGAGAATTCTAGCGATTGGTTTTACAAGAATGGAAGCTACACGGCTTCGATCTGGGTAACTCGGTTGTTTCGCTAGAATTCACATTAGAATTTGACCAAGTTACAAGTTTCAGTCAGCCAGTAATGATCAACTTAGAGCCTGGCACAGATGCACATTGGACTAAGTTTTCATGCCATATTAGTACGACGCAATAAAACCAATAGCAAAGGAATCAACATACTGTAGCAGCAATGATACTGGGAATAAGTGAACAGTTGAAATGTGGTTCAAAAAGACAAAATGAAAAGGTATGTATGAAGGGATCCTGAAATTAAAGATTTAAAGGAAGTTGAAGAGTGCATTGAGCCACGTCATCTATTGTGTTCGGCTGCTGACTACAAGTACCCCAGCCAGTTTACCTGCGTCTACTTGTCCGTCTCAGACCAACAGACAATGACTTTGTCGTCTGTTGTATAAGATCACCGAGTCATTGTAAAGTTTAACCTCTTTATAAGGATGATTATCAAGATTTGAATTGATAATTTCAAATAAATTGAGTAGATTGATAATAGTGAGATGTGCTTGTGTGTATGTAGTCATGGATGGTACGTAAAGTTCTGAATATTAGGAAAAGTCAAAATCACGTTTACTGTGACAAAATTATTGTAGTTCATTTGACCACGTTCTCGTTTGTCCTAAAGTTATAATTATGGACACAATCATATACTATTTTTTACTTTTAGCCCTATTTGAAATCTGATCACAGAACTAAATTGTTTATCTTAAACATAATCATTTATTTAATAGCTAATGTGAGCAGAAACCAAACAAATACCACTAAACTTGGCGATTATTTTGTTGTCAGTAATCCGATTATATTTGCGAATACATAATCTGAGCACAAGAACACAGTAGCTATTTTACGCAAACTGTAATGAAAATGAGAATAGATCCCACTTATGAAAAACGATTCGGCAACAAATACAGTCATTCCGCTTAGTACCTTATATCTCACTGAAGAGCAGATATATCGAAACTGAACAACCGTTACCGGGAGTGTGGCTACGTATTAAGGTCTGTCGCCCCTTGTGGAGCATAGGCTGACGACTAGGACCCCCCAACCTGGCCCGACGGTAGCTGCTACCTTGACGTGGTGGTCGGGCTTACCTATCGTGACGACCCAACGGAGATATATTGGCTGAAACATATGTCCCTGTAGGTTCGACCATGACAGGCAGGTCGATTGGAGAACGGTAAGACTAAAAGCAGTAACTCAAGGTCTGAGGGCGAAGTTGTTCTGCTGACTGTAGAGGGGTGTGACAGTAGTGAGCTGTTTCCCTCCGACAACCGGCAAAGCACCGATGCTGCCTTCTCACAAGGAAAGAAGAGGTTAGAAAAGGTCGACCATAAAAATGTCACACCTCACCGATTTCCGTCTCTGGCGGTAAGGCCCTTTGGAGCTAACACATTGAAAACCTCTTACAAAAAAGCCATGCGTGACCGGCCTCAAGCAGTTGTCCCTTGGGCTTTGCGGTCACGCTCCCAGGTGGTCGAGACGGACACTAATCTAACTTCCTTTTCAGGTTTCTTAAGAAATACCTTTCCACGGTGTGGGCAGCTGGAAGTGATATCAGCCCTCATACCCGTAACAGCACACGAAACCAAACTGGTCACATTCAAATCCTGACTGACTTTTTCCCGGGCTCTGCTTACCCGTTGTTCCCCTATTTTACACATTCTCGATATGTCTGTTTCTCATTCACAGCGAATTGTGTCTGTTATATCCCGATGAGAATAATGCAAATGTGGCTTACAATAAGTCACGAAATGTCAGAAAATCTAATTTTTCTATTTACTGGGTTACCATATATATATATATATATATATATATATATATATATATATATATATATATATATATATATATATATATATAATTTATATTCATGTTTCCCTTATTATAAGCTTGATTTTGACCTATGAACTATTATTATGCGATTTACCATTCTTGAGTTATGCCTAGTCTATCCCACGTTCACAGCCACTTTTGGCTTAGTCTTGTACAATGTTATTTTCTATTTCATGGTACGATGTGGTCTGTTTGGTTGGTATGCGTCATTGGTCTGGTCGATAATTCACTGTTCTCTAATTGGCGGTATCATTACGTTATACATTAATAGGACACAGTGAACCAGTTATAACAGTGTTCTTTGATCTGTTTCATTTCTTCTTCCTTTAAAATTCCAAGCTAGGACTTTGCTTGTGGTATGTTTCTCTGTTTTTCGTAAAGTTCGACCTATCCACCTACAACTCCTTGTTTGCAGCTTGTTTGTTATCTCCCACTATTGGCCGCTATTTAATGGATCTGGAGTGTCCTTCATAAACAGCTGTTTATAAGTACCTGTACCTTCTTGATGATGGCTTTAGTAGTTCTCCCAGATTCAACTCTGGACAACTGTTGGAGTGATCCAGAAAATTGATTGCGAAAGACAAGCAAGCATCAGCGAACACTAAGAAGCATTTCATCCAATCAGTGTCCATTTGGAGTTTTTGCCAAAAATATCAAGGAAGCGAAACGTCACATGCAGAGGCTCTGACTGGTTGGCTGCTACGCTGCAACTACGTTTAGTAGCATTTTCAGAATCTTCTAGCGACCCAAGGACATTTAAAATATTATAAAAACCCTGTATTTTCTGTATTAAAATGAACCTTGGGGTAAACTACTTCTCGTATACTTTGAGTCTTCTCTATCGTGTTCAGGTCGCTGTATAGTTCTAGTTTGGAGGTTACCGAATAGCTTAGGAGACGAATATAGCGTTCAATCCGGCAAGACTTATCAACAATAGAGCTGTTTTGACGTTTTTATCGGAAATTCTGATCTTAGGCGACAGTTTCAAAGATTCATTAATTGTAGGGATGCCACCCTTGCTTTGCTAGTTCGTGCATTTACATCTGCATCACATCTTCAGGTTCATCAATGATGCTGCCTAGTTACGTAAAGCTTTCCATCTATTCCAGAGTTTATACATCAAATGTTATTTGGATGGTTCTCACTGTGTTATATTTTAAGATCTTGCTTTTACCCTTGTGTATATCAAGACTTACTGGTACTACACTGGCTGTCTTCACTTGCATTTGTTGCTGTGTGGTGGTCCCGATTTTGAATTTTCTTACGCCTCCGAAACCTGCATATTTGATATTTTTCTAGCCTAGGCAGTTGAACCAATGAAATGACCGATTTTTCTAGTGGCGCGTTTATAACTATGAGAAATATAGGTTTTTTTGAGGCTTCAGTCTTCAGTAATAAGGATAGTAGGTCGATGAACCTGTATTAATCCTGACGCACTGCTTTCCAGTGAAGGTCCAGCTTCTCCTTGAAAGTATTCACTGATGGGGCTGATACCACTTGTTCGGGTAAGGCGTTCCAATGACTGACTACTCGATGAGACAAAAAGACGGGACCCCACTTTAAGTTTATTAGATCGTGGTTTATGAACCTTCTTGTTATAACCGCGGAGATTATTAGTGCTGGTGGGAGCAAAAAGATAAGACATATTAACACCCAAATCACAATTAAAGATACGAAATGCCAGTATAAGGTCACCTCGTGTCCTACGATACGACAAGGGGAAAAGATTTAGGCGTTTTAAACGCTCATCGTAAGGGAGTTTACAAGGACCCTTCACTAATTTCGTTCCCACACGCTGGACACGCTCAAGGGAGTTAGTATCCTTTACCAGACACGGGCTAGCTGCTTGGATACAGTACTCTAAGTGTGGTCTTACTTAGGTGGGATATAAAATTCGAGACGTTTCCTCGTCAAAAGATTTGAACGCTCGGCGAAGTGACCATAACGCACGAAAACCTTTGACAGCTGCTGCTTTGCAATGCGCAGTTGTTTTTAAATCATGACTTAATATTACTCCTAAGTCCTTATGCTCTTGAACGTGTGGAAGAGGTTTACCCTCAATAGTGTAACGGTAACTATTACCGTGACCGATGTGCATTAGCACACTCTTCCTAGCATTGATTTCTAAGCCCCACTCTCGAGCCCATCTAACTAAATCGTCTAAGTCAGCTTGAAGATCCACATGATCAGCCTCACTTCTTATTGTTCTCCAGATTTTTACATCGTCCGCAAACAATAATATCGACGACCTAAGTAACAGCGGTGACTCATTAACGTAGAGAAGGAAGAGCAGGGGGCCTAAGATGGTGCCTTGGGGTACACCACTTTTGACCGGCTTCCAATCGGATAGCGTTCCGTTAACCCTCACTCTCTGTCTGCGGTCACATAAGAAATTTCCTATCCACGCATGTACAGTACTTATTATTCCGAAGCTCGTGAGCTTCTGCATAAGACCTACGTGTGAAACCTTGTCAAACGCTTTGCTAAAATCTATGAATATCACGTCGACAGACAGAATATGGTACCAGTCAACATTATCCATACACCAAATAATGTTTTTCCTGTCATTACTATTATTATAAGTCATATTATTCATAACAATATTATCAAGCTAAAGTGTACACAAAATGTTTATGAAGGTCAAACTATTTAATAATAATTCCGACTTTCCTAAATATTAGTTTGATTTACTTACAAAATTTATATTTGTAGAAATTCACATGTTTTACAAATAATCTGAATTCACTGATTAATGAATGTCAAGTGCACAATATTTATCATAGGATGTCTACAGTTTATAAAAAGAATTCATGCACCCAAATATCATCATCCTACAATCCCACTAAATTATTATTAATGTCATTATCCTTAAAAAATGAAAGGTTGAGTTACTGCTTTTACTGACCAGTCATCATAACAGTCTTAATATTTGCAACATCATGCCAAAGTGAGATTTCTTCACCATGCATATTACATATGTAGTTACCGGATCAAAGTCATTTAGTAAATTATAGTACTTAGAGTGATTTCATAAGAACTTTTAGTAAAAGTGCACTATACTAACGACCATGAGGGAGCCAGTAAGAATTGAGATAGCGTCTCGTGGATTTTGCGCGAAATAGGAAGTGCAGTGAGAGATAACTTGTTATTATGATATAGGTAAAAATTGGCAATTTTTGGTTTTTGAAAGTAATAAAACTATATATTAAGCAACCAAACAGTGAATATAAGATGCTTGGTCTAAATCACAAGAAATACCTGCCCCTGAGTATTCAATCCATATATAAGGGTATTTAGTGTACCTAGACAGTATTCTCCCACTCTGACTCTCAATCTCAACATATAAATCCTTAAGTTTGTAAACAAAAGGGTGGTAAGGAATCACTCCACGACAGCTGATACCGGTTCGTAATGATAACCGTAACCATAATCTGTAAATCAAACTCAACTGTAGCTGATCTAATACATATCGCTAACCCTTTTGCTTTAAGGCTGGTGTCAGTTGGTGATGAGTTAAGTAAATATTTCCATAAAATGTCAATCTAACGTTGCCTTTAGATTGGTTTTTCATTTGAGTGGCTAATTTGGATTTATAACCGTAGGAATTAATGATAATATATTTTAAAAAATATTACAATAGTAGTGATAACAAAATTCTGTTAAACATGGGTAACAGTGAGGCAGAATAAACAAAGGAATTAAAATATTATTTTTTATTAGGGAAACCGATAATAGTTTTATTGTTAAGGTTTTGAATAGTCATCACGATTATCATTTCCCTGATAAGAAAATGATGTTTTAATACCCTTATTTATTCTGCCTCTCTGTTACCATGTTTAACAGAATTTTACTATCACTTATTGTAACTATAATCATTCTGAGAAATAGGTATATATATGTTCGCAATTGTACAGTTTTAAAGAATATTCTCGCTTTATACATCTGTTATAAAATATATACTTAACGGTTAATTTGGTTTAACATCCGAGTATTATCCTCACTAAGTTAAAATCACTCAGAAAGTTGTTTCAGAAGCATTAAAGTATAGCGTCAGATTGTTGTTACTATCATAATTTCATTTGAGCCATCTTCGTTTAGCTACATACCATTCCGTCTACATTAAATTTGACCTTGCATGACTATATCTTGTTCATTCACCAATCATAAATTTTATGTTTGTCATAAACGATATTAAGTTTTTGATAGAGATCATGAACCGATTGGTGTTAGGCCACCAGTGAAAACCTGGAAGTACTGGACGACCATTTCGTCCTATTGTGAAACTCTTCAGTAGTGCGCATTAAAAATATTCGAACTTGTTATTTTTTCAACAGCTTGATGTATTAGGTACCCATTCACATCATTCGTATGTAAGGCTCTCATCTGTGATGGAACAGTTTATCGATATTTAATTCTAATAAAATCCAATAAACGTTTGCTTTAACAGTACAACAGAGAAATATATTTACAAGACCACTGGTCAATTTTTACATATGAAATTACAGTGATTCAGGATCAACGTAACAAATACTGGTTAATAAAAATAGATTATTTGGAGGAGGATGTGAACTTGGGCTGAGTATGGTGAATGCGGACTTGTCTTCGGAAACACTAACAACTACGATAAATCCATAAACAGGAGCTTCTGGAACTTGATAAGGTTCTGAAGCTTGAGAAACTGCCAACAGACGATTCTTCAAATCTCGACTAACTGAAACCTGGATGGGATTACGCCATGTCTCCTCTTCTTGTGCTCCATGTGGGAGAAGTGCATCGGGAATGGCCTCACTTCCAACTTTGTAAATTGAATACTGGAAATGTAAAGAATAAAATATACAAAGACAGGTGGTGATGGTGATTCAAATTACTAGTTGCAAAAAGTGTAATAAAGTGTAAATGAAGAAAGGGATTATAATGAATGTCATTCAGTAATATGAGCTTATTAATCATCGCAACGAAGACAATAAAGATCAGTCCCGTAAAAGGCTGCAGTCGACCGTAGAGAAGTGCCCAGGAGAACACCTGACCAGCCTGATGGAGGACCTAAACGCCAAGGTTGGGATGGCCAACACTGAGTATGAATGTATTATGGGGGGATATCGACTGACAGAAAAGAACGAAAATGGTGGGAGACAACTAAATCTGTCCTTTCAACAACATGGTTATTAGTGGAGCGTTTCCTACACAAACACACACAAAGCTACATAGGTTCCACTGGACCACGCTATATAAAATTAGATCGATCACATCTGCAAAAGTTCCATGGAAAGACGTAAGAACAAAAAGTGGAGCTGATATACCTTCAGATCACCACATAGTGGTGATTAAGGATTGGACAACCGAAGAAGCAGGATAACAAAAGCTTGGTATAGTATTTCTTCAAGATGCTAACAAGCTTAGTGAATTCAACATAGCTCTCAATGAAAAGTTCCAGGACTTAAAAGATTTACTCAGTCAGCTACAACGTAGGACCAGGCACATATATGCATCGGTCCAAGTTGCCATACCACATTACCACAGCAAGATGAACACTAGATTCATAGAAGTAGTTACATCAATGGGGGTAATATATAGGAGAAAGATTGCAGATAAAAGTATAGTACAGGAAGAAAGAATTAGTTCGTAGAAAAGAAGATATGAAGTGATTTTAATCTCTCAGTTTAACAGAAGACAGAGTGTATACACCTACGCCATTGTGGTCGATTCTGAGCCATGTCACCAAGTCTCCAACTATTGGTTACGATAGTCACGCGGACCCCAATCAAGTAGTCTGCATCTACCAACATGGCTCAGACCAGAAGTTGGTGACTTTAAAATTTACTGAAGGAAGGGGAAGCCACATAGAGTGCAACTGGGAAGAGATAAAGAAAGCAATGACTCCACTATTATAGGAAGTGCCAAACCTAAAAAAAACAGCACTATTAAGGATGGATCTCTGTAGACAATCTACGCGAGATCCAAGAAAGGAACAACAAGAAGACAAGAACCAACAACAGCCGAACAAAAGCAAAAAATGTCAAGGCACAGGCCAAATACATAGAAGCAAATGAGAGAATGGAGAGGAGCATGAAAGCTGACGAGCGAAAATATGTGGAAGACCTAGCAACGATAGAGGAAAAGTCTGCAATAGGAGTATGGGGAAACCATATGACACGACAAAGAAGCTTTCAGGTAAATATGATAAGCCAGAGTGACCGGTCAAGAACAAAGAATGAAAACCAATCACTCAGATCCAAGAACAGAGAAACAAGTGAGTTGACACTTTGAAGAGCTCTTGAATAGACCAACCTGATTTTCGTAAGGATCGATTAAGTACCAACCAAATAGCGACTGAGTTGCAAGGTCGTGCATGAAGAGTAGCTTAGAGACGCATTTTAAGTGAAGGCCAGTGTTGAACAAGGTTCGTTACTCTCGCCTTTTTTCTTTCACTAGATACTTTGATATAAATCACACACTAATTGTAAGGGCTAGTGATAGTACTTGACTGCTCGAACGGAAGTCGGTGGAGCAGGATGTGAACCTGGTATTTAGTGCCTGAAGGTAAAACCTTTTAACCACTGAACCATTATTGCCCTTTTTCTTTCTGCTAATTAGTGACTGCATTATGATGACCTTCAAATCTCAGAAGAAGCACGGAATACAGTGGATACCTTGGATGCAGCTGGACGATTTGGACTTCGCAGATGACTTAGTTCTTCTATCTCACACAACAACAAATTCAGATGAATACGGTGTAGCAAGCTTCTTCGGAAATAAGCTTAAACATTTACAAGGTAGGTCAAAATAACATATGGAGAAAATCGGTCAGCAGCCTATGTCCAAACAGAGGTAACAGTATTAAGTAAGTTTTCCGGGTTAAGGCAGAACTCGATGAAAAAGCTTGAACATGTAAATCGAAACTTTGCAACAAGATTTACTGTAGAACCCGTCAAAGGAGAGAGTAACTACCTTACAGGTTGAGACCACGCACTCCACTTACTGTAAGTTTGAGCAGACAATGTCATTAGCCCTTATAATCAAAGTGGTTCAAAGATGACTATACAAACTTGTGTTTGGTAGGCGAGCCGATTAAAAAGTTATACTTTCTAATCTAACGACTAACACATACAAACACACTCATATTTCTTAAATCCGACTGACAGAGGTCTTATTTTAATGAAGAATCAATAGAAAGAAACTAACCTCAGAAGATTTAAGCGTTATTTGATGTGGATGTAGACGTCTCAAGGGGTTTTCGCCATGTAAATAGGCGCAGACTCGAGCATCTCGCTGACGTGTCCACTGATCTGGACTTCTAGTTATAGCACCTGACGATTTGGGTAATCTCACTATAGTCACTTCGGGAGGAAGATCTTCACGCAGGAACGAAGCTAGAAATCCATCTTCTATAACCAACAACGTGTCAACCTAAAGAACAAAGTGCTTTTAATTTCATGAATATATATATATATATATATATATATATATATATATATATATATATATCACTATCAAGGTTTAACTTGATAATGTCAAAAAAATATAGCATCTGGTGGATTATTTAAAAACGTAAGATAACAAAATAATGTAATAAATATTTTATGATTTAATAATTTTCCCAAGAATACTATTAAAACTGCACTAACACGAAACATTTTGTTGTAAATCAAATGAAATACCATAGACCGTAGTTTTACCATTAACCATTTTTCAAAAAACCACATTTGATGTCTTCAAGTTCGATAGCATAAACACATGAATCATCCTTATACCTTCATATTTTTGACGGCCACCTCAATGTACAAGAATGTACATATGTCTTTGGCCTAAATGATGGCATTGGCGTGATCAGAATTATTTTGATTGCATTAAGTACTTTGATTTGCTCCTCTGTAATATACAGAACTAAGCTAATTTGCTTTGATTGTTCACTCATTCTCTGTAGAAGTAACTTAAAATAAGTTACAGGATTTTAGAAATTCAATTTTTTCTACTAAACGGAACATTACAAATACATTATTTTATCAATCTATATGTAATGCATTGCTTAAAAATCTATTGCTTTAATCATAAAGTCAATGGTTCATACGTACGACACATTGACAACGTAATGAATAGACTTTGTAATTTAGATCTGCTGAAGTGAACAGAGGTAACAACAGTGTGGAGAGTGCAGTATAACTTTTCTTATTACAAAGAAACAGTGAATTAACTTTAGTCTTTGGTGAATTTTAGTAAATATCAAACCTCTTCATCTTTTCCCATGCACTATGATATACCTGTGAAAATATTTTAATTTTGATGGAACAATAACAAACATAATAAAATAAGTTAATAGTTGAATTCATGAGTCAATTGAAGCTAGACCATTATGGAAAACCTGAAAGCACTGGACGGCCGTTTCGTCCTAGTACTGAACTCCTCGGCAGTGCGCACCCACTATCCCGCCACGCGAGATTCGAATCGAGGACCTATCAGTGGATGCGCACTGTTGAGGAGCCCCATACAAAGTAAGATGAAACGGCCATCCAGTGCTTCCAGGTTTTCCATAGTGATCTAGCTTCAATTGACTTATGAATTCAACTATTAAATTACTATAATATACACAAAACCACTCTCTGGTTATAATAAAATAAAATTCATTTTACTTCATAGCTCTTTTTTATCATCTGTTTACAACTTAAACATAATAGTAATGGATAGAGACTACATTTATTTACTAAAAATTAACTAGTAATAACATAAAATTACACAAGTATATATTTGTTGTATTTAACATTGTGAATTTCGTACATCATTCAGATTTCTCATATCATATCGGCTCATATTATCCAACTGAAAAAAAGATCAATATCTTGTTAAATAATCACTGATAAGTAATTTGACCTTACTTATATATACACTGTGGTTTATATCATATGCAACCATTTTTCCGACAAAAACAAATTAATTTGAATATTTTAACAGTACAATAGTTTGCATTTTACATATAATTCATGTTTTAAAAATGTTTTTCAATTTGTACATTTTTTTTTATAATTTCGAATAAACAAATGATTCATATTCACTCATTAAATATCAATCAATAATAACGTAAGTTACACAAACCACATACATATTCATTCAGAGTCAAAGGAACTGGATCGAAGGGGGATTTGAATCAATATTTTCTACACCGCGGAGGAATCGGCAATCCACTCAAGCCTGAACTTTGAGTGCAGAAACAATTTATCCAACCTCTCATCCTCCCTTGGCCCTAATTTCCTTAATGGATATGTTTCTGTGTTTTGTTGTTGTTTTTTTCTGCACTTTTATTTAACTATTATCGATATTATTGTGACTTATGTTGTTTGTCGATTTTCTTCGAATTTGTCAATTGGACTATTATCTGACTCATAAATTTTATTCTCCCTTACAACTTGATTAATACGTTAACCTCATTTGTTATTTATTGTCGAATCCATTTTTCTGATACAATCCTTTCTATCCCTCTATAGACATATATTTTCCATATAACTATATAAATGAATGTACAGCTTAAGTAAATGATTTCGTCGAAAAGAAAATTTTCTTCGCTGAATTCTCTTTTTCTTATTCAATGACACTATGGGTTATTTTAATTATATTCATTATTATTTAGATTGAGTATTTTATACATTATTCACATATTACTATTTACTAAAGTTAACATCAGAATATGATTAGATAAGTTCTTAGTGTAGATTTGCTTGTTAAACGTTAGAAATTCTTTGATAATATTGATTTTGATTATTATTCCTGAAGATATCCACATTAGTTTTCTGGACAAAATATTGGAATTATTTAAATTTCCAATATAATTTTCACAAATAATGTGCTTTGTTTACTCGGTGACTAATTTTTGTGAAACTATTCATTCAAATATTGACAAATATTCGTATGAATTTTGTTGTGTTAGTATTTTGTAGCATTTAAGACTTACTTCACTGAAGTGAAATTTTGGGCTAAATCAATGTGTATGTGTCAGTTTACTTGCTCATGTGGAATAGGTTATATTGGCCGCACAAAGAGAGCTCTTTAGAAACGCATCTCTGAACATTACCATGCCTGTCTCTCCAAAGGATTACAGAAGTCAGTCAAAAACTTAATCTTCGAGAATCTAGTCGATTCCGGTCACTTCGCTTTACCAGAAGCCTCCTTCAAAGTCATACATGCAGTCAGAAAAGTCCTTTCAATATCTGATTTTCAAGTCTTGGTAACATACCATCTGAATATTTAACACCATTCTATCTCACCACAGAATACTATTTTAGCAAATGAAATTAACTATAAATATGATTGTACAGCTTAAGTAAGTGAAATCATCGAAACGAAAATTTTCTTCGTTGAGTTGTGTTTTTTCTTCGTCAATGGCATAATGGATCTCTTTCGCTATCTACCATTTTCATTTAATGCAATGGACTAACTTAATTGAAATATCTTGTCTATTGTAACATAATAATTGTGGACTTGCAAGTGTGGAGCTTGATGAAGTTATTGAATAAAATAGTTCACTCTAATATTCTTTGTTCTCCGAGTTTAAAATAATTCGAAATTATTAATAGGCAAACAACATTGAACTTGTTGCGTTTTGTCGAAGTCATAGCTATTAAAAGGTTTAAACCAGATTTATGCATTCAATAAGATAATGTTTTCACTCTTGCTTTTCCCTGGTGGCTTGATCTTCCAACGTGTAGTTCCATAACAAAGCTTTGTTTATATATTTCATAACTAAATTTCTCCATACTTCGTTCAGTTTTATCTGAACTTTACTTATTTTTACTGATCTGTTTTCTTGTTATTATTGTGCAAAGTTGAATTATTAATTAACATTCCCATTAATTTGTCTCTGTTTTTTTCATAAAAAGAACTTTCTCCTATTACTTTTATCTCAGTTAACACAAAATTATTTAACGGTTTAGATGGCTTTTAGGACGATTGCTAAATAAAACAAGATTTGTAGTGTTGAGATGACTCGTATGCAATGAATCAGCTTACACCTTAAGTGAAATTATAGGATTCATGATCAGAATAAACATGGGTATGATAGGATAAAAAGAATAGTAGTACAATTACGAATTCAATCAAATGTTTATTATCGCTTTAAAAAAAACTGTATCGATGAATTAATTAAACTTTTCTAATATATTGATATAAATTGTGTAAACCAATTTCTAGTGATTATTACTATTATGTTCGGGATGTATGTAGCTGATAAGCAATCACGAAGTAAACTGAATTCATGTTATTCTGCTACGTTGATTGTTCGTGATTTATTCAAATTTAACAATGGAAAAAACTGCACCAAATATTTGAATTTTGATCATAAGAAAGTCATTCATGTGTTGAAAAAAGTAGATTAGTCTTTCAGGTAGTAAAATACGTTGTTAACTTACTTCGAAAGCTGCAGCAGTCGTTCGTATGGCTTGGATCCCCTTTTCTTTACTTGACCCACCATCTGAATCATCTTTACGAAATCCACTCATATTGATTATACAACCACTAGTGAATATACTCATATCATTCTCAGAACGAATATTGATAAGTTCGGCTAATCGATTCACCTAAAAGACAGTGTCAACAAGAAAGCAACCCGAATTACAGTCCCAAAATTGATAAGTAAATAAACACAAGTGTAGGAAAGGTCCCAAAAAATCCCTTACCAAAGTCTCTAGAGGCCCGGAAACACGTTACCTAATCAGCGTTGAATAAAATCTCTGCAGAAACATTTAGAAAATTCAGAATCACCTGTCACAGTTTTGATTCGATATTTACCTATAGTGCCATTATATTCAGAATGATTCCAGAAATTTCCAGAACCACAAGGTAATGTGTATCTCAACGAATACCCTCTTTTTTGTTTGTAAAATAACCTTGGAGTAAGGCTTCTACCCGCAATCTGCGCCCTGTCTCTATTGTCCCAGTGGATATGTAGAAACAGTTAAGTTTATCGAAACCAGCTGAAAATACAGTTTAGGCGTAGCGGTAGCAAGACTTATCAACAAGTTAAACCACAAAATCTATTCCTGTAGTCCAGGAATCATATATATATATATATATAAGCTACTTATTACATTACGAAAATTAACCTCCCAATTACGTGTTCATGTACTTGACTGATGCATGTTTATTGCAAAAGGTAGTTAAATAATTTAATTTCCCGAAACTAAGTAGAACCAACAAGTAATAGGACGAAACTCGTGTCTTTGATTCCAGTGATGGGCAAAAATCCATCTATTCTATGAAAGGATCTAACTAGGTTCGATATGACGTTTCGGTTCCAAATAAAAATCCGACAGCATTTGAGAACAACTACTTAAAACAAATCCTTACAATCAATTGAATATATAAAAGGCAAAGTCGACAAAAGCATGTTCAGTGAACTGGAAATAAATCTTGAATTACTAGAAATGTGATATCGTTTTAAATAAAGCAAGTGAGAATGGAAGTGATAAAAACTTTGCAAAACTTCGGGTTCATTGATCTTATTTTTTCCCAAAAATTTGGTATTGAAAATGCTTCTAAAAATTATGACAAGTTAGACTCCTTAGGTGTTATTTTAGAATCGTCTAGGCAAATTTTCAAAAACTCGCTTTACTTGAAATCACGTATACAGCGAATCAGTGACCGGAGAGCATACAAAGTCTCGTATATTCTGCATTTTTATCAACATAAAAGATCGACAGTCGTCCTGACCTGACAACTTTCCCTGTAGTATTTACAGTTCACATTGATCCGCTGAAAACAAGTTGTTTCCTTCAAATGTTTATTAGCGCAAACAACTCCAAAGATATGATGGACTTCCTGAGGTTTGCTCAGGGTTTATGAAGAAACTTTAGTAGTTTAGTTTGCATGTATACAGAACAGACCATGTACATGACTGAGTGAACACAATTTAAACTAAGTTATTTGGTGAAACAGACCAACTTCTTTAGCACCCAGTGGAACTAAATCCATATATAACAGACCTATTTTACAAGATATAAATAATAAATGATCATGTTCACTTATTAATTCAACTTTTTATATGATATACTATGTAGCCTCTTCTCAAGCGCGTAGAGATTTTCAAATACATAAATTTAAAGGCAAATGCTACACTGGATAAGTAGTAATTAAACATACTTGTTCTCGAAAAAGATTTAAGTTACTCGCAGGATCAGTGTGACCGAAACAAAATACTAGTGGATCTTCCTCTAGACTCCACCCTTCCATCAAATCATATGGTTTGGTAACACTTATTGCAGCAATAGTTGTTGGTATACACACCTGTTACGTATATAACAAAAATACATAAAAATCCAAGTTGTTAATGAAAGAGGAATGCAGCAACACTGAAAACAGTAAAACATAATTTCGAAAACAAGTCACAAGAATTGAAAATGTCGGAAAAAATACGATTGAACCACATCATTCAAAAATGCGATTGCGAACCAAGTGCTCAGGAATAAGGTCACAAGTATTGTAAATTATTCTAGTGCAGATAAATAGTTATTTGGAAGTTCTACTGTAAATTCCTCTTTGGTACAAAGAATACGATAATCGCCAATGTAATGATGATGCAAATATTTAAGTTGAGTTATCTTGATGTGGCAGACATACTCAAGTGACGAGTAAACTCAACTGACTAGTCGCAAATAACTGTAGATTATTACCAGTTGACTGAACAATGATTTTAGACGTGACACTTTAGTACATGTTTTCTAAGTACTTTAAATTCGATAATGGGTTTTTGTAATCATCATCTCCGTTGGCCTATGTAATAAAAATAATTTTAATAGCCTATTTATATCCCCTGTAAAGCATTTTAAAGTTCAAATGCAGAGTTTGTAAAATGATAGTGTTTTAATGGAAAAATCCGACTGGACATTTTGTAATCACCCACTAAGTTAGATCCAAACCATAGTACGTTTTTTGTCATAGGTTATCATTAGTCATGAAGAATCTCAGGAATCGACTAAGCAGTCGTTGACAAAGGAGACTATTCACATTTACAGAAATCAAAATCTTGTTGTTATCCACCAGAGCTAAATTACAGACGAGTAAGGATAGCCGCATATACCAATTATAGTTAAATAAACATTTAATATTTCATTGAAAGTAAACGAAATCTACATACTAAATAAAGGAATAAAATTCACAAATGACATGTGTTTGATGGACAGACTCGAATTAACTACTTAATTTTACGGATATTTGAAAAACTGAACATATAGTTGCAGAAAGAGTAACTAGAAGAAAAAAGCACTTGCACAATTAGAAAGAAGTATTTAATTTTGTACGAAGCCATAGGTGAGTCAAACCAGAATACAAGACATCACTTAATGAGAAATGGTTTGTAGGCTTTTAGGAGTTCCATATAGGTTGTGGTAATATTGACACAAAGTGAAGCCTCGACATTGGAGGGTCAATAATTTCAAAGATATCCTGATACACGTTGATTAGATATTTTACAAAGACTAAAGCGAATCTATGAAAAAACTAAATTAAATTACATAAAAAAAGTTTTACATAATAAGTGCGGTACCTGATTGAGTCCAACGTTAACATCTACAAGTATTGGTTTGTGTTTTCTACGAGCCGCATAACTTGCCAAAGTGCGACAAAGTGTAGACTTCCCAACACTTTCTTGACCACATACTAATACGCGTGGCCCTCTACTTTGCTCCTTTACAGCTTTTTGTCGTGAAACTTCTAGGTTAGCATGAATATTCATATATACGTGCACAATTTCTTGATCTTCCGATGAGGCAATTATATAGGCAGCAACTCCCTGGTCTTGAACAATCAGTTTGCAGCCATGGAACGTAACGACTGTCCCTCGTTGACCTGGATATAACTGTAACTCCCAACCACAAACGAGTTCAGTACCAAAAACTTCAGCAGCACCAGAAACTAAAGTTAAACCAGATGGTGAAGTGACTTCAAAACGAAGCATCTGATATTTCTCTAGAGTGTATGATCGAATGGATGGGTTTGATCGTGGAAAATCCTTCACGCCATTCATTTCTACCAAATCTGGATTCCCAAGTATTATGGCTTGCCCTTCAAAGGAATGATGGCAGATTTTGTAAAATCTGTCGGAAAACCAAATTGCATCAAATAAGAGATCTAGGAAAATATGGAGAATTGAATGATGAGGTAGTGGGGTGGTTTGGACATTAATTACGCATACCTAATTCAAAGACCAATTGGTGTAGGAGTAATTTGGAGGAAAGCTAAGAGCTGCCAAACAAAGACCTGATATCAGTTCATCAAATCACTGAAAAATGCACTGAGATACGAGATGTAAAACCTCGCTTGATTTTGACCACTTTACGCCACCCGCAAGACAGGATAGATCTACCCATTTATGAAAAGGTGAACATATATTCCACGAGTTTACTTCTCTATGGTGCAACAATCTTTTAAGATAACAGCATGAGTAAGTCCCTTAGTATGAGACCACAGATATTTTCAGAACTGTTCTTATACGATGGAACTAATCAATGAGTATTGATGAAATTAATCATTCGATTTTAGGAGTTACAAGTCTGCTGATGAAGTGATAACCCTCTAATGCATGAAGTGATGTGGAAACGTGATACACACGTGCATTCTGATGCTTTGTGCTGGCTAATATATGATTACATTGAAATATGGGTGTTGCTAAACAGATATATTACAATTCACAAGGACATGCTATTACAGTAGGTTTACTACCTGGGATCTACAAACAAAATTATGTTTGGAGACCTAAGGTGATATGATAAAGCGTCAGTAGCAGTGGCACGTATGTATTCGTACATGATTTACATCACACGTAGGCACTAGGTGTCTAGCTTCGAAACGTTTCTGCTAGAAAATGGCACAAGACTTAATTATGATACCTTGGTCTGAAATAATTCACGGTGCTTTCTGCAGGACTAACCATCAGATAGATGACAAGTCATATCATTTTCAGAAACGCTCATGAAAAAAAGTTTGGAAATCCATTCCAAACCCTAATAACCATTTCTTTTACTACTTGACGTTATTCCCCCCTCCAGTTTTACAGTGAGTCATCATTGCTTTCAATAATATTTTATTCCCTTTGCTGGAGCGAAATAATTAACCTCGACAGACATTTCCTAGATTCCGTATTATCTGGCACTAAGCGGACAGCTAAATTCTAAGTCTTGAAATACATTCATATTTATCAGTCATTGGTAAAGGCTACAATCTTTATTTAAGTGTGGGAGTCAATTGTGCCGACCGAAATAACATCTAGGAAACTCCCAAGTAAGAGGAATCTGTTTTAAACATTAGCCGGGGAAGTTCTCAATTTGAATAGCCATCACTCATGTTACAGCCACTTCTTAGCAATGCATACACACAAACGCCAATGCAGGTAAACCTTTTTAGAAATCTACAGTACAAATCTTGAGGTTATATGATTTCAACCCGTACAAATACAGAATGATAAATGTAGAAACCATGTAACCTTAGTGTATCCAACCTTGATATTGTAATTTATTAAATCTCAAATAAATCCCGAGCTCCCAGTTTTTGCGAAAATTTGGCACATTTTGGGGAAGTCGCTATAGTAAATTTTGAGGAAATGGCACAAAAATTCAAAAATTTCTCCGAAATAGGGAACCCGGGATTGCACTTATTTTTACATGAATCTCCGAAAGTGCTTATTTTTATCTATTTTTCATAGGTTCACCTTCATTTAGTCGAACGAAACCACTTCACAAGAAGGCATTGAGATGACTTACTTTATGCCTAAAGACCAAATGTAACGCACAATTTCAGATTTGCGTATTCAGTCTTCAGTAATATGGATAGTAGGCTGATGAACCTGTATTAATCCTGACGCACTGCTTTCCAGTGAAGGTCCAGCTTCTCCTTGAAAGTATTCACTGATGGGGCTGATACCACTTGTTCGGGTAAGGCGTTCCAATGACTGACTACTCGATGAGACAAAAAGACGGGACCCCACTTTAAGTTTATTAGATCGTGGTTTATGAACCTTCTTGTTATGACCGCGGAGATTATTAGTGCTGGTGGGAGCAAAAAGATAAGACATATTAACACCGAAATCACAATTAAAGATACGAAATGCCAGTATAAGGTCACCTCGTGTCCTACGATACGACAAGGTGAAAAGATTTAGGCGTTTTAAACGCTCATCGTAAGGGAGTTTACAAGGACCCTTCACTAATTTCGTTCCCACACGCTGGACACGCTCAAGGGAGTTAGTATCCTTTACCAGACACGGGCTAGCTGCTTGGATACAGTACTCTAAGTGTGGTCTTACTTAGGTGGGATATAAAATTCGAGACGTTTCCTCGTCAAAAGATTTGAACGCTCGGCGAAGTGACCTTAACGCACGGAAATCTTTGACAGCAGCTGCTTTGCAATGCGGTTGTTTTTAAATCATGACTTAATATTACTCCTAAGTCCTTATGCTCTTGAACGCGTGGAAGAGGTTTACCCTCAATAGTGTAACGGTAACTATTACCGTGACCGATGTGCATTAGCACACTCTTCCTAGCATTGATTTCTAAGCCCCACTCTCGAGCCCATCTAACTAAATCGTCTAAGTCAGCTTGAAGATCCACATGATCAGCCTCACTTCTTATTGTTCTCCAGATTTTTACATCGTCCGCAAACAATAATATCGACGACCTAAGTAACAGCGGTGACTCATTAACGTAGAGAAGGAAGAGCAGGGGGCCTAAGATGGTGCCTTGGGGTACACCACTTTTGACCGGCTTCCAATCGGATATCGTTCCGTTAACCCTCACTCTCTGTCTGCGGTCACATAAGAAATTTCCTATCCACACATGTACAGTACTTATTATTCCGAAGCTCGTGAGCTTCTGCATAAGACCTACGTGTGAAACCTTGTCAAACGCTTTGCTAAAATCTATGAATATCACATCGACAGACAGGTCTTTATCTAAGGCTGCTGTCCGATCCTCTCTCGCAATAAGTAAGTTAGTCAAACATGAACGCTTGTTACGAAATCCATGTTGCTCAGGAGCTAACAGATTGTGTAAATCTATGTGGCTTAGTAACCTAGCCCGAACTGTCTTTTCAAGGAACCTAACGACAATGCTAGTTAGACTGACAGGTCGGTAGTTAGATACGATCTGTCTCTGACCATCCTTAAACATAGGACTGACTATAGCGTCTTTCCAATCTCTAGAGCGTTGAGTGAGTGAAAGGGACATGTTGAAGAGTGTCACGAGCGGTTTTGAAATAATTTCCGCAAGAGATAACAGCAGCCATGGATGTAACTCGTCAGGGCCCGGTATCTTCCAAGGTTTGAGGTTAGTTATCAACGGAGGGACAGATTCCTCAGTCACCTGTACAGATTCAATGGTTGGTATCTCGGTGTGAGTGGGACAAGTATTTGTTACAATAAACACTTCGCTAAAATAATTTGAAAAAGTCTCAGCTTTTGCGCGATCTGATTCAGCAAGTAAATCTGAATTTTCGTGTAACAGTAACGAGGGAATACCATCACTACGTTTCAGTCGCCGTTTATAATCAGAACAGTCGTTTCGGACAAGTACGGCATTCATATGGCAACTGTCGTTCGTAAGTAGTACGGGGTTTACCTATGATTTTCTTACAAATATCCCGGAATTGTTGGTACCCACGCTTAAATGATGAGTGACCTGTCAACAAGAATAAGTCCCAGAAGAGTTTCCTACGCTTTAACAGCTTCCGGGTTTCCTTATTAATCCATGGAGGGCAATGTGATAGCTTACGTGCTGACCATGGGATAAACGGCGACGTCACGGACTCGAATGTTGCCTTAAACTTATTCCATTCATCTTCGATCGATCCATCCGCGTCGACCGACCAATCAGTCGAGATAGCACAGGTTCTGATTACCGGAATATTGGCTCGCCAGATATTGGGACGATGTGGAGCAGATACGAATTGTATACCATATGTCCTAAACTCAAAGTGAATTACAACGTGATCACTGTTCACTAGTGGGGGAAGGTGCTGAATATCAAGGACATCCTCACAGTGGTGGGTGAGGGCGTGGTCCAGCAGTGACGGATCATGATTGAAATCAATATGTTTCGGCTTTGTGATACATTGTACGAGTGCACACTGAATAACGGTAGATAAAAGATCGCTATCTAAACGTTATACCTCCCCCTTTGCGACTTGAAACTCTATCACTTCTAATACAGATATAACCTGCAATGAAAGGAGAACAGTCTATATCTACTGTGAACCAAGTTTCTGTAGCAACGATTATATCGGGACACAATTCTTGCACCATCAGACTTAGCTCGGACGTTTTATTTCTACGACTACGAGCGTTCGTGTAGCACACACTTAAGGTGTTTTGGCAATCAATCGTTCTACTCATACAGGCCTCGGAAGCATTGGCTTCCAAGATCTGAATACCCGAAAACCCTTAATGGTAAGGTTATTTTCGCCATTTAATTTGCGAGTCCTCAACTCCGTAAGAACATTCTTCCACTTGATTCGATCATCAAGCGGCCAATCTGGTCGAATACGGATATTTGAGTCACGAGTTTTTAGTGCGCTTTTCAATAATACGTCTCTTTCTTCAAAACTCCCGAGAACCAGCTTCAGGATTCTTCTTGGTTAGGTCTCGCCTCCAACCCATTTACCAAGTCGTATTGCTTTTGTATTATGTACCCCTGAAACCTCTTCAGGTAGTACATTTCTTACCACAGACTCCACTTACTGCGGGTCATGTGCATTTCTTCTAGCAGAGTTCCAAATAATTAAACCATGGAGGGGTTTAGGTTCTTTTGAAACTGTGTTCACAGCTTTCGACCGTGACGTTAGATCCTGTATTTTAACTACTTGTATCTTTCGATTAGTTTTTATTGTAACAGAGTCCTGTGAGTCGAGCGATTGACTCACAACAATGTTAGACGAAGCTTTACTATGGGACTTTGGCCGAGTGGTCTGAGAGTCCACCAAGGACTTATCAAGTAAACAGTCATTAGTTTTAGCTATCTTTCCTACTCTTCTGCGTTTCCGTGTCATCCATATTCCATCAGTCTTAGCATCCACATTAGGACCACTCGGGACAGCAATTGTTTTATCTGGGTCACCGGTTGCTGCTGTAGCAACATGGCCGCCAATATCTAAGGAGGTGTCACTCATTGATAGCAGGTTGCACAGTTAGATGTCTGGCTTGCTCTGTGACAGCACTCACGACACTAATGCAATCTCCGCCATCAGTACCAATGTTGCTAGTACAGCTCTCATCAACCTTCTCATTAGCCAAAACCAGGAGACTTATTGTTTCCTGTATAAGCAATGTTTTGCTCGAGCAACAAGAACTACAAAACCAATGAGAGTTGGGTTTTGAGCACTTTTTATATGCAATAGGGCTTAATCGGGTGCACATCTTATGGAACCACTTATTACACTCATCACATTGCATCCCTTCCTCCACGAGACATAAGCATAACTTTCATTTGTGTTTGTAGGTTATTTTCAGTCACATAACCGACCCATACTATTAACGGATGCTCAACAAGTACTCCGGATAATACCAAACGCGACCAAAACTGCTGTGTGTAACCAGCAATGTTACACACCACATCACGATCACAGGACCACCTGTTTCCTCGAAAGCGCTTAGACTATGTAGTGGCATTAGACCATAACCACACAATCTTCAAAGCTGAACACAAGACTACTCGGGAAATAGATATTCAATATTTAACGCGGAGAAATACCTAACGACGGAGAAGGCGTGAACAATGAATTGAATGGACTGGAGTTGATCGGATGGCATGGCTCGACCATGCAGGCGTGGTCCATCTGAATGTTACCTTATATCTTCTATTCATATTAAATATATTGTTCCTTCTCTAGCCTAACCTTGTTCTACATCATGTATCGGTAATTGATACGATACAGTGAGTTGGTGTAGTCGATGGTGTGACTTCCACGTAAGATCTTATAGATTAGGCAGTTATATCATGACAAATCTACAAAATTTAGGATTAGGTCTATTATTAGAGCAGTACTAATATCATAGTAGACCATAATTCTACAACTATCTCCCGAAGAGCTGAGTTTGGCCAAAATCGAATTCGGCGACATAATACACTTAGGAACTATCCAGCTATCAAGCTAATTCCAGGAGCATCTTCCTTTCACAAGGTCCTTAAAAAGGACAGCAATGATTGGTGTCCAAATGGTGACTATCGGCGACTGGTTCTGCTATCGCCTGCCATGTTTTGTGAGTAGGAAGAAACAGAGGGGATATATCAGAATAAAAATAACTTTTTAGTATTTTGTACATAAAAATCAGATCTGCAGTAGGACGGAGTAAAAAGGCTTACCTTCTCAAACCACTCCGTGTATTGCAAGCCCTAGAGTTCTGTCATTTCTAGGGTACCTGCCTTGTGTACTCTTTCCAAGATGTACAAGTCACCTTATAAACCGGACCTTGAGGACTAGACGCAGTTTTCATGTTTGGATCTCCATAAGGTTGTGTATACAATAGTGAAAATATTAGTATCCAACTTCGTAAATGTCCGTCCTAAGGCCTAAATGGATCTGAACTCCCTAACTGTGACTGTACTGCAGTGAGCCATAGTTTCAAGATGATGGATTACTGTTACTCTAAGATCATTATGAGACCGGACTATGATCACCGGCTCCTATGCCATACCTATCTAACTTGGTATCCCAAATGTCAATGTAGACACACTTGGCCACGTTAATAAACATTAGCCATGCTTTGAAACAGCCAAC